CCATTTGTGGAAATTCATCATATACATGAATAGGTTGAGAGGTCCTCTTATTAAAGCAAGAAGAAAACTTGTTTAATTTTGGTTAATATTTCCTAGGCCTTTTAATAATTTTCAGTTGAAAAATTTAAAGTTACGGAGAGGGCCGTGGATTTAGCTCTGTTTCTGCTGCTTACCTTGAAATTGCAAAGTCCCAAGTTCGATCCCCGGTACCAAAAAAAAAAAGGTGAATAAAGTTATGGGAAATACAGCTACCATAAAGTTTACCATTTTAACTATTTTAAAATGTACAGTTCCATGGCATTAAGTGAAACACACACATACAGCTGCCACCACTATACATCTCCAGAACTTTTCCATCTTCCCAGACTGAAACTTAGCTGTTGAAAACCTCCCAGTTCCTTTCTCCTCATTCCCCTGGTGGACACCATTCTACTTTCCATCTCTGAATTTGATTATTCTAGGGCCCCATACAAATACATGTCCTTTTTTACTAGCATATTTTACTTAGTATAATTTCGTAAGGTTTATCCATGTTGAAGCATGTCAGAATTTCCTACGGATTTTAGGGCTGAATAATACTCCGTGCTGTGCTATATACCACCTTCTGTTTATCTGCCTCCACTATGTGTTTTTAATTGCTCATAGTAGTCTGTTATATGTTTGTGTCTTGGCATATATACTAGTGATGGATATTTAGATTACTTTCACATTGTTGTTACATATTACAAACAGTTTTGAAGTAAACATTTTTGCACAGTTAGCTTCTAAGAGCAAATCTTAGAAATGGTTTGTTTAGTGTTTCTATTATACATTTTGGTAAATATTACCAACTTATTCTCTAAAAAGTCCCCATTTTCACTCCCTCCATAGCAATGCCCATTTTTCTGAATCCCTGCCAGTATTAGTCTTTTAAAAATCATTTTGCTCTTTGTACAACTGAACAGAGAAAATAAGTTGCCTTTATGTATATTCTGAATGTTTTTGTCCTAGAAATCAAGTATACCCTGAAATGATGCCTAGCTGCTCCTAAGCAGATTTTTAAAACATTCTTTTGGTTCTGAAAAGCAGCGTTGTTGGAATAAGTTGATAGTATCCCAAGGTGACCATTTTGAAGAGCATATTGAAGAGTAGCTCTTGTATTGGTATTAGTAAAAAGACAACCCTTTCTTTATAATCACACTTACACCTGACATGCTCATATATGACTATACAGCAAAATTGGATAGTCACTGGAAATTGGATAGCAACATGTATTGCCTTCCTGTTATGTGTACCATTCTTTTTGCCAGGAGGGATGTGGTGTTATGGCCCTTGTCCTTGGGGAACTTATAGACTTAGTCTTCAAGAACGTGTAATAGGAGGTGAAAAGTGACATGTACAGTAGCACATTTCCCAGGGTGGTCCTGTGGGAATTCTCCATCAGAACTGATATCGACTAAATGTTTGTTGAGTGACTCATACAGATTCCTAAATGTATGAAGTCATAATGATTTTTGTTTTTGTTTATGTGTTTTGAGTGTTGAGGATTGAATCCAGGATGGTTATACATGATAGGCAGGGGGTATCTACCACTGAGCTACATCCCCAGCCCAGTATTTTAATAGAGAAGATATCTGCTGATGTTGGGTGTTTTGAGCCTCTCTTCTATAAGGATTAAGTTGGGTAGTTGGTATGTGCCTTTAGAGGTGTTTGCCCTTTCCTCTTTCCTTCATAAACTGAAATGGAGCTGATTCATTTTGCTGAAAAAGATGTTCTTCAGGGTACTTTTACTTTGCCCTTTGACTTTTTGGTGCCAGAACACCCATTAAATGTATAGCATCCTATTGAAGTCCTTGTGCTTGTGTGTGTGTGGGGAGAACAATTCAATATGAAGGTGGAAGTGCCTGCCCCTCTACCAGCAGCCAGTTGCATTTCTTTCTCAGGGGGAAGATGGCTTCTTGTGATTGCTCTTTGAGGGTGTTTGCAGCTCTGCCAATCTATGAGCTTGTGATTCTGTGACAAGTACTTTATTTATAAATAATTCTATGAGTGTAGACATTTCTTTGTGGTTATAAAAAAGTTATTTTTATAAGTAAAACTTAAATGTTCTCTTTTAATTTTGTAATTTTTTCATTTATATATCTAATAAATTCATGTTTCTGAGATTAAATAGCTCAGAAACTTGACACTTAAAAGAATTTCATAGTATTAGAGGATGTAAAAGGTCAATATGAGGGTATACATTTTTTGATTCAGGGATGCCTTATTCATATTTGCATTTCCAATTAGCTGCTGTGTAAAATAACTAGTCAATATACAGTAAAGGAAAAAGGTAAATATTAGTGTTATTTACTTGATTAGTGGTTCTCCTCAGTTAAACTGCCTTTTAATTTCAACATCTTAAAACTCATTAGGTAATAATAGTAGAATAACATGTTACTATCCCAAAATTTAAAAAAACCTCTGTTAACCTGTAATGATTTATTAACTAGATATTCCTTTATGTCCCATCTCTAGAAGAAACAAATGACCACCCCTCCCCCAACCCCATAGCAGGGATGAAACCCAGAGCTGTACATGTGTTAGGCAGGTCTCCTGCCCACTGAGCTACATTCCCAGCCTCATTTATAGGTTTTTTCTTTTTTGTTGTTGTTTTGTTTTGTTTTTGCAGTACCAGAGATTGAGCCTAAGTCCTTTACAGTGAGCTATATCCCCAGCCCTTTTTGATTTTTGATTTTGAGAGAGGGTATTGCTAAGTCACTAAGTTGCCCAGGCTGGGCTTAAAGTTGCAGCCCTTCTGCATCAGCACCACCATGCCTGGCAGTTACAGGTATTTCTAAAAATAAAACTCTTCCAAGACTATCCCCAGGAACATATTCAATCAAGCTTTCACATTCCTTCTATTTCAGAATGATTTTGGGGAAAGAAGTAGGTGATCTAGATGACCTGCAGTGTCCTCTGTCACAAAGGAACTACAGATTTATTTTGTCTGCCACCCACTTACCAAAGAAGGATGATATATCGATGGGTTTTATGAATACTTTAAACAAGAATTCAAAACTGAAACTAGTGATATTTTTATCATCATCATGCTTATGAATAGCAGCCTATATTTGTTTAATCATGTGCCCTCTAGTCTTTTGAACACTATTTGTCTTATCACCTGTATATCCTGTTATCCCTGGAACCTCTATTTATATATGAAGAACATGAAGAGAAGCTAAAAAGATTTAAGTATTTTGACCAAGACTGAATAGCTAGCAAGTGACAAGGACAGGATTGAACCCAGCTCTCTCTAGGGCCTAGTTCCTAATCACTGTTCTGTAGTATTTTCTTTGTTGAATATTCCAATTTAACTGATCAGGTACCATCTTATTCCTAGAATAAACATCCTTACTGTTTTAACAGGATCGAGGAAGCAGCTCTTATAATTAGGTTTCTAAAATAAGAAATTAATCCTGTAGCTCACTGGTCATTCGAGAGATGCAGATGAAAACAACACTGAGATTCCTCCTCACCCCAGAAAGAATGGCTGCTATCAAGAAATCAACCAATAACAAATGCTGGTGGGGGTGTGGGGAGAAAGGAACCCTTCTCCATTGTTGGTGGGAGGGCAGACTGGTGCAACCAGTGTGGAAATCAGTATGGAGATACCTCAAAGAACTAGGACTAGAGGTCCCATTTGACCCAGCTATTCCCCTGCTGGGTATCATCCCCAAAGAATTAAAAGAATCATACCACAGCGATATATGTACACCCATGTTTATAGCGGCACAGTTTGTAATAGCTAAAGCTTGGAAATAGCCCATGGGCCCATCAACTGGAAACTGGATAAAGATGTGGTTTGTTGTTTTTTTTTTTATAAAATGGTGTACTACTCAGCCATAAAGAACGAGAAACTAGAGACATTTATAGCTAAATGGATGCATATTGAGGCCATACTCTTTAAGTGAAATAAATAGGACACACATGTGTAAATACCGAATTATTTCTCTAGTGTGAGAAACTGAAAATGTAAATAAGGGTTAAAATGATTAAAGTGAATAATTGATAATTTGAAATAGGAAGAAAAGGTCCAAAGGGGTAGGGGTGGTGGGAGGGGAAAGGGAAGGGAAAGGAAAAATTATGAGAAAAGAAAAAAAGAAATGAAGTCTGTGTAAATGGGGAAGGGTGGAGGGGGTGAAGGGCACACAGGTAATAGGGAAAAGATAAGAACCAAGATACATCATGTGCAGGTACAAGCACCCAATGATAAATGTAAACATATTATATACCTAAAATGTACCAATAAAATAATTTAAGAAAAAAAAGAAATTAATCCAGTAGCAAGGCAACTTTGATTATTAAGTTTTATTTTAAAAGCACAACACTATCTTAAATCAAAAGAAAGGGATAGGGCTGGAGATTTAGCTCAGTGATTCTGCCGCCTGCTTTGAAAGCAGAAAGTCCAGAGTTTGATCACTGGTACCAAAAAAAAAAAAAGGAAATATGTTTATTGAGCAAAATTACTTTGGTGTACACTTTCGTAAAATCCCCAGTATCTCAGAAAGCATTGTGCCCTTTTAAATACTTCACAATCCTATGACAAGAAGGAAAATGTAAACTGATGAGATATAGTTTTGTACTTTAGCACATCATTTGAGGAAAATACAACTCATTCCCCCACAACCTTATAAAATAATGAGAAGATTGCAAGGGAGTGAAGGGAGAAAAGAAGGAGAATTTATTGTTTTAACAGTAGTTCTGTGCTTTGAGTAACCTGACTCTGGAGTTACTGTTACTTGTTTTGCAAGAGAACAAGCCTTCCTGTATGATACCATGGAGATCTCATTGACTAGAGCTGTAGCCTGTAGTACTTATAGGATTTCCTTTCAGCTTTGACTTACTCTTTTTAAGCTTCTAGGTATAGGGATAAATGTTGATTTTCCAGGTAGCATTTTACCACATTGAATTTGTTTGAAAAATGATTCAGTCATTTTGTACCTTATTATTAAATATTGCTGTGTATATCGTGTTTCTAGGTAGGTGAGTTCGTGAAACAATATGAAGAGGAGAAAATAGCCTTTTAAGGAAATTGGCCCACAGAAAGGATGGCCTTCTTGGACAATCCAACTATCATTCTAGCTCATATTCGACAGTCACATGTGACCAGTGATGACACGGGAATGTGTGAGATGGTTCTCATTGATCATGATGTTGACCTAGAGAAGATTCATCCTCCTTCAATGCCTGGAGACAGTGGGTCAGAAATTCAGGGAAGCAATGGTGAGACTCAGGGCTATGTGTATGCCCAGTCAGTCGATATTACCTCAAGTTGGGACTTTGGTATTAGAAGACGCTCAAACACAGGTAAACATTGTCTGCTAGTCATGTCTTCTGAACTTTAAATCAGTATACAGTCTTATGGGATAATGCGTAATGTCAGGGTAGGTTCAATGGGGGGACCTTTCTGCATATTAATAGGAACATTCAAGTGTCAGACTGAGACTGAGCAACATCTCCATCTCTGCAAGTGTGAGTGGAGTGGTTCTCTGTTTTTTGTTTTTTGGTTTTTTTGGTACTGGAGATCAAACTCAGGTCCTTGTGCTTGTGAGGCAAGTAACGGAACTACTGAGCTAAATCCCTGGCCCTGGAGTGGTTCTCTGGAGTGATGTTATTAGAAAGGGGTGGACAGGAGAGAAATAGGTGGAAAAGTGAGGAGGAAAGACAGGTGCTGTTATCTTTGTACAAAGGCTCTTGTGGAAAGGGAAGTGCACCTGTTCTGACTCTTTACAGAGGGACATCAGTCCAGTAGGTAACACTACCTGGAGGCAGATTTCAGACTGACAAAATAAAGAACCTTTAACACAGGGAGATGACCAGCTGAGGAGTGTAGGCTGCTGCCCGAGACAGTTCTTATCCCTGCAGTAATTGTAAGGGAATGGAAGAGGGGGCTGAGACAACTGATTACAGCTGATTTTACTTTTTAATGTTTATTTGTTTCTTTACTTTTTAAGGAAAGAAAGATTTAATTTAGCCCACGAGGGCTGATTTTTAATAGGAATTCCTACATTGGGTGTGAAATTAGAAAAGGTGCCCCTGTTTGTTTGGGTTTTTTCCTGTTTTTGATACTACCCTTATTAAGTTGGTCACTACCCTTTCATCTTTGTGGTTTAAAAATGCTCAACTTTGGCTTATATATTTGATTATTAGCTTTAAAAAACTTACTCATTGCCTGTTTTCCAGTTTATACTTTTTGGCAGCCTTTCAAGGGGAATGTGATGAACTGAGGACTTACTTAGATATAGTATTTAAAATGTATATTGTAGTTCTGATGTGACAGGGTATTCTAGGAGATAATTTTTGTTTTTTTAGACCATCAGGAAATACAATCTCTAAATTAGCAGCAGTAATCTGCTAACTCTGATGAAAGGTCATGGCAGGATATATAACAACACTGAAAATATTTATGTATTTTTGTGGATAAAATGTAAAGTGTACATAAAGGTTTATTGCAGGTAGAGCTGGCTACAATGTACAGTGAAAGCCACATTAAAGTTTTGGTTCCACATTCACCATCATGACATCAAAAAGAATAATTTGCTCTCCTGATGGAAATAATTAATTTCCCAGTATCTAAAGGAACTTTTATCAAAATAGGATTTGAGTGAAGGTTTGAATATAATTTAGAACCATTGATTCTCAGTTCTCTAGTTGAAACTGACTTCCTTGCAAGTTATTGAGATGATATCTCATATGACAGACAGGTCAAATGGATTTCAGTAAGAGAACACTGCTGAATTGAGAGTTTTATGATTATATTACTTTGGCTGTCCCCTTCACATTTATTAATTGCAATTGAATGTATTTTTCTTCAATGGAATTTGGTTAGAATACAGTGACATTGTCAGAATGCTTTTGCCAGGACAGTTTAAATTTCTGGCATGATTATCTTCACTGTTTCCCTACCACAATGCCAAGGCAAGAGTATATGGTTTCCCACTTTCAAAGTGGTTGAAAAGGAAATTTATTTTATTTTCTATTAGTAATGTGCCAGAATAGGGTGCTAAAGATTAGCAAGAGAAAACAATTTCAAGAGATGGAATCAGTTGTGACTTTCCTTTCCATTGTGATCCCTAATGCAGCAGTTGTTAAGGGGTGCCAGATGGTATTTATAGGATCAGTTTACCAATTCTTGAAGATGGATCAGCCAGTAGCAGCATGATCACAAATGCATACTTTTAGGTAACTCATGGTATTGAAATTTCTTTAGGTAGCACTTAAATGCTAATAATTAATTGAGATTGTTGGTTGTCCTAGTGACAAAAGAATTTACTTTAATACTGTCAACATATCTTAAAATTTTTTAAAAGAAAAATTGTTCTTTTTAAGATTTGACTAATGTTACAAAGATACAAATCATTTATTTTACTACCTATAAACTGTTTCAGCCCACTGAAGAAAGGCTATGCTAATTTATATAGCTTTGACATTTTATAATTTTCATGATTTTTAGATAAAGGATTTTATATTTAAAACTTTAATAGTCTAGTCTGAGTTCATTTATCTTTAATTTTTGAAACGGGTAGAGTAATTCATAACAGTAATTTTATTCCTGTAATGTAATATTCACTTCAGTTCATTTGTGCATTAAAATTCCTTTAAGACCGTTATTAATGATTTATATAATGAAATGTCATATTAATCACAGAAGTTTTCACATTTTATTATTCTCTTCCATGTTAATACTATCTTTATGATCTCTATTAATGTTTTATATCCTCTAATTTCAATTATAAATCAAGAATATTTTCATGTTTTTGTTGGTATTTGCTTTTCAGGGGTGCCACCTTTAAAATTTTATGACTTTTCCCCTACATATGCAATATAAAACATCTTTATTCATATAAAGGTAGTTAATTATGTCTTTGTTTATAGTAAACTTTCATTGACAAACTTATAGTTATAATATTTCTTTTCAAGCTCAAAGATTAGAACGACTCCGAAAAGAGAGACAAAACCAGATCAAATGCAAAAATATTCAATGGAAAGAAAGAAATTCTAAGCAATCAGGTAAATGGAGATAATTTTAATTCTTAATTCAATATTTATATATTTAGTTTATAATATTATATAAGAACTTTTATTTTTAATTTATCTTTTAAAACCCTCTGGGCAGATACCTGTTATGTTTTAAGCTTTGAACTCTTTCCCTTGTGGCCTTAGCCCTCCGAAGCTGTGTGTTCTTTAGGTCTTGTCTTTTGTCCGCCTTTCACTCTGGATCACAGAGATTCATGTGTGCAGGGGACATTTTGTACAAAATATTCTAGTGCCTTGCTCTTAGGGCCAGGGATTATCCTATGCTTTTTTAGATATGTCTCTGGATTATGGATCACGCTATAACTAGTTCTAACCTAGACTTACCCTTGCCTCATTAGTGGCCTTAATAACAATTTTTTTTCATATATGCTAATTCTTTTAGCTTAAAAACCATTATGTTGCTGGTATTATTTGCATTTGCACTATGTGTTCATATGATATGTGTTATAAAGGCTGACCATATTAATTTTCAAAGCTTCAAGCCCACAAGAAGAAAAGACTTAAAAAAAACAGACCATTTTAAAAGTAAATTGCTATAGGGCCGGGGAATTAGCTCAGTGGTGCCGCTGCTTGCCTTCTAAGCACAAGGTCCTGAGTTCAATCCCTGGTACCAAAAAAAAAGAGAGTGAGAATGACGAGAAAACCTAGGAAACATGCTATAACCATGATAAAGTGTTTTAATAGCAATTTACGTTTTGTTTTTTGGTACTGGGGATCAAACTCAGGACTTTGTACTTGCAAGGCAGGTGGCAGAACCACTGAGCTAAATCCCCGACCCTCGTCATTCTCTTTTAAAAGAAATGGTGGCACATACTTGTAATCCTTACTGCTCTGGGGATGGGGGGGGCGGGGGGAGTAAAAGGATCGCAGATTCAAGCCCAGCCTAGGCAACTTAGTGAGTTAGTAAGCCCCTTTCTGAAAATAAAAAATTTTAAAAGGGATGGGGATGTAGGTCATTATGAAATCCCTAGGTTTATTCTCTAATGCCAAGCGGGGGAAATAAAAAGAGTACCACCTTGGTATGTAACAGATGCTTAATAATTCTTTGTTGTCTCCATTGGTACACAATAATTATAAGACTAGCAATGTTAGTGATTATTATAATAACAGCAGTACCTACTTAGTGCTGTACTAGATTCTTTACATGAATTACCTAATACAACAATCTTGTAAATGGTAGGTATTGTTTCTGTTATTTACAGATGGAGACAGAGGCCCAGAGAGATTTCATTTACTTGCTAAAGTTACAGAACTAGGAAGTAGTAATGTGATAGTTCCATGTTTTATGTATCCAGCTGTGTCCTTATATAAAGGCCAGTCTCATACTAAACTGCACTGTTCCTTGCTTTCTCCTACTATGATTGTAGACTCCAGTAACCTCACTAGGTATAATTTTCCTAATGATTGCTTCTAAATAATGACTATATAGAACAAGAAATTTCATTTTCTTCTTTTTCCTCGTATCTCACTCTGTGACTTGTAGTGCTTGAATATCTCTTTGGTTTTATTTTTGATATTTAAAAAAATCTTACTAAGCTGCCCTCTTCTTCTGTTGGTCTTGTTAATACTTCTCTCTGTTGTATTTAATACAAACTGAGAACACTTTGTATCATTGATCTTGTCCACTTTCTTCAGATTTTCTAAAATGTCTTAATGTGTAGTTCCTATTAATCTCTACTTAATGAATACACAGCCATTTTATCAAAGTTCCTGTATTTCTCCAGCTACTTATTGCCTTCTTCACTTTCATATCTTAAAAAACTATTAATAAATAAATAAAAATAAGATGAATAGAGAACCTCAAATATGAGTGCAATCATCCCTTTTACAGTATGACAAATTGTTCAGTTTAAATTTTGATACATCTAATTTGCTTTTCTCCCATTCATTCCTTTAAGTTGAATCCACTTTAACTGTGCTCATTATTGCACAGAATGTGCTGGAGGAATAGATAATACCCCTTTTGCATTCACTTGTAACCACACTATCCATTATATACAAAAAATGATAAAAAATGCAGTGGCTGTTTAAATTTTAAAAATTATTATAGTAAAAGAGACATTGCCATTACCCTCCTCCACACACACACACAAATACACAAATACTTCCTCTCACTTCAGAGACACTTATTCTATCATTCTTGCCACTTTCTGAAGCAGTTCTGGAAGTCCTTTTTCGTGAGTGGCTTTACAACGTGTGATAAAAAATATGGCAAGTGCTGCTGCCAACTGCCAGCCAGTGGAAAAGTATTATAGTGTCCTCATCTGCTTTACTCACTGAATCTGGCACTGTGTGACTTCTGGCCCTTCACCAGGAGAAAGTCAAAATGATCATGAAAGGTAAACATTCTGAATTTATTCAGGTCATCAACACAGTCATGACAGTGCAACTAAAGACACTCAAGAAAGAGGACTTCCAGAAATGCTTCAGAAAGTGGCAAGAACAATGGGATAAATATGTTTGAAGCAAGGGGGAGTATTTTGAGGGAGATTAATGACAATGTGTCTTTTACTGTAATAAATTTTTAAAAATTTAAATATACCATTTTTTTTATCACACTTTGTATGTATACTTCTCTCTCAGTTTCTTGTCTGTCACAGATTTCAATAATTGCCCTTGTAATCTAATTTCTGGAGAAGGACCTTAATATGTCCATCTATGTTTTAAAATGTTGACCCTGATTCTGGCCAGCTTGGTAACCTGCTTGGTGATAGATTCCTGATAGATCAGACTTCATCAGTGTATAAAGGAATGTCTTTGAATTCTTCCTTAGGCTAGGTTCCATCATTAACCCACAGCTTGGCACTCTGGGTACCCTGAAACATGCTACAAAAGTGAAGTCAGCAGTCCACTAAGCAGCACCCTGGCAAACTGAGCAACCATTCAGTTTTCACACATCTTTCAAACACATGTTCTCTGTTGGCAAGAAATGCCATGTCTAATCTTCCTTGGAGTTTTGGATAGGAAATCATTTTTTCATTCCATTCTTTTTCTGCTAGCTGTTTTGTTAAAATCCTTTCATATGTTTTCCTTATCTTTGTTTCATTTTATTCTCTACTAGAAATCAACATTATAAAGATGATGAGCTCCCATAGAATGTCCTTTTCCATAATTAGTCCATCTAACTCTGGTGCATTCTTTAAGACGGTATAAATGTGGAGGAGTTAGAAAGGCTCTTAGAAGCCATCCAGTTCATACTCTGTAGTTCTTTATGAACTTACTCATCCATATGCCATCAGACCACGTGATAAACGCAGTACTTTGGGGTAAGATGTTTTTCATATTCCTGTAACAATAATGCATAGATAAATGTGAAGATGACGTCATCAGAAGTGTGCTTTGTTGGGAATAATGTCATATCCGGGCCCCAGTATTTTAAATTTTATTGTTTCAGAATGATATTGGAAACCTGGGAGTATAGCTCAATAGGTAAAAGAGTGTGTGCTTAGCATGGGTGAGGCACTCTGGGCACAATCGCTAACACATATGCACGTGCTTGTGCGCACACCTGTGCATGCACACAAACACACACACACACACACACACACACACACGGGCCCGGGGTGTAACTCAGTGGTAGAGCAGTTGCCTAGTATATATGCAGCCCTTGGTTCAATCCACAGCACTACTTTTTTAAAAAGGTGTTAGGTAAATAGTATTTTGTTTACATTATTTGTTGAGTCATTTAACATTAACATTAACAAAATTTAGCCTTTTTTCCATAACTCCTCTATGCGTACTGATTGTGCTGAGTGCTTGGACAAATACATGCTTCTATCCTCAGGAAACTTGAAGTCTAATTGGAAGATAGGCATGTTAAATGTGAAGTGAAATAGCTCAGTAGTGTCATTCATATCATTTATAAGTATTCCTGAAGTTTGGTCATATAACTTCTATTATTGGTTTCTTAAAGATTTCCAAATACTGTATAAAAATTTACAAATGCATCCTGGAGTGCATGCTATAATGATTTTTCTTATACATTTGTACACCCTACCTGTGGATTTCCTGATGCATTAGATAGGAAGTACAGTCTGTAGCTTCCAAAATCTCCCTGGGAGTTCTGATGGGTAACCAGCTCTGTGTATATAATGTGCTATTGTTTCATCTTTGTGCAAGTCCAGCAAATTGGTTTTTAATATATATATATTACTGTTGAGAAAACTGGAGTTCACAAGCTAAATAAGTCTTCCAAGATACTTACAAGTAATAGATGGTAAAGCCAGAATTCTGGCCAGTGTGACCCCAAAGACTTTAGTCTTCCTACTCTGCTTCACTCCAGTACTCTAGGCAGCTGAGACAGTTCCTGAAGCAATGGCTATTGAGGAGTCTTTGATGTTGCCTTGTTCCTTTCCTTCTCTGTCAGCTGTTGCCAGGGTTCAGGGAAGTTACCATACCCTCTGTATTAAAAAATTAAAAATTATAATAAGCTATCAGTTATCTCACATCTAGAGTTAACTGCTGTTTTAATATTTTGATGTATTGCAGGTTTCATTTACATATATGAGTATATATATTTTATTTTATTTTGTTATTTTTTTGGTACCAGGGATCGAACTCGGGCCCTTGTGCTTGTGCAGCAAGTGGCGAAACCACTGAGCTAAATCCCCTGCACTAGTATATATATTTTAAACAATATTCTAATCATATATGTTTTTTTGTGTGTTTTTGACCGCACAAATAGTTCGTAACTGTGAACTTTTGTAGTTGTCTCCATATTAAGGCTGTTCCTGGATGTTTTATAATACCTTTGTAAATAGCCACATGGCCCTAACTTTATTAGATTTCTATAAAGAAATCTGTTGTTGGGTGGGGGATTTAGCTCAGTGGTTCCGGCACCTGCCTTACCAGTGCAAGGTCCCAAGTTTGATCCCTGGTGCCAAAAATAAAAAAGAAATCTGTTGTTGCTGGGGGTGTAGCTTTTGCCTAGCATGTATGAGGCACCCCAAGTTTGATCCCCCTCACTGCAGAAC